AATTAGTTTATCTTGTGATTTTTATATATATGTACTGTATTTCCCACCAGTAATTGGTTTATAAACTGTTGGTGGTGTAATTAAATAAATAAATAAAATAAATAAATAAATAACACAAAAGAAGAAACCTTATAAGACGGGGAAATAATAAAACAGACGTTTTTAGAAGCAGCAGATTCATTATTTGCTAACTTTAGAAATAAAGTCGAGATAGTAATGAGCAGTGATATAGTTTTACAGTTAATAAATGACTTCGATAACTGTGCTTATTTTTCACTGAAGCTCAATGAATCCACAGATGTCGTTGACCCCTCTCTGATGGCAGTGTTCGTCAGGACGGTTTTTAGTGATTTTACCATTAAAGATCTTTTGAAGTTTATTCCTCTAAAAGGACAGACTACTGGGCAGGACTTGTTTCCTTCTTTTAAAAATATCATTTCTTCTGAGAAAATTCCAATATCGAAAATGGTGGCTTGATAACCGCTCCAGCTATGGTGGGTCGTGATAAGGGTCTCGTGGGGTTATTTCGTAAAAATGAAAGTCTTCCGCAATTTCTGTTACCACTGCATTATCCATCAGCAAGCATTAGGTGGGCATTTTCTAAAACTAAACAACGTTATGAAATCGGTAGTAAAAATTGTGAACAAGATTAGAGCTCAAGCTCAACCTTGGCCGATGAAATTGACTGTCAATACGGGGAAGTACTTCTTCACTCTGCAACATTCATAGTGCAATTTTTCAAACAACGTGGTGAACCGATTCCGGAACTGGAAAATTCAATCTGGCTCAGATATTTTGGTTTCCTTGTGGAAATTACAGAAAAATTAAATGAACTCAATTTGCAGCTTCAGGGGAGAGACAAAGAACTAGCAGAAATGATTTCTGATATAAAACCGTTTATCAAAAAGCTTGAGTTTTGGGAACAAAACTTAATCGATGACGATACCAGGCATTTTCCTGTTCTTCCGGAAAATATATCTCAAAGTCCATTAGAAGAATATGACAGTAAATATCATGTAGAAATAGTCTCTAACTTCAAAGATAACTTCAAAAAACTTTTCAAGGATTTCAACGAAATTGCTACAGTGCCATTGTATAGCTGACGAAAAATTTTGTTTATTTTTCAAACACCGACGATTGGTAGGAATGGATGTGGTTATATAGAATGTATTAGTTATTAGTTTATTGAAGTTTATTAGTATATATTAGTATTAGTAAATTAAACCACATGTATGTCGCATACCACTGTGTATAATTTCATTTAAGTTGGCTTACATTGCTGACGACTAGGTAGCTCACTGTTTATTCCAAAATTATTAAAGTAGCTCAAAACACTGAAAAGGTTGGCGACCACTCTGCTCTAAAGTTAAACTGACCCTAAGAGGACAGAGAGACGTCAATATCACATGACACTCGGCAACTACAGTAAACTTGCTTATCTCCACTGTACACTAATCATGTAGCCGGTGATGCGAACACGGACAGCAATCTATTGAATTTATTGAAACTGGTAGAATAAATCATATCGCTTCACGCGTCCAGGTTTTATAGATAAAGATTTGTACTACGACGCTACGATTTTCTACTTAATCTGTAAGCTAGGGAAAATATGGCAAATACGTTAAATTTATGATGCAAGCTTCTCTGTATTGCTAAAGTGTCGCCCCCCTTAAGGCTGATATGTCACGAAAGAGGTTAATCGGGTGTCCTAAATCTCAATTAGGATAGATTAACTAGTTTTGTACTTTTTATATAATGTTTTTTTCATAAATTGCCATCAGGTTGTAAACCACAGCCACAGAATATTTTATATATGTGAATCTCTAATTGATAAACACACGACGCCACAACATCCATGGCTTCGGAATGTGATTTCCGAAGGCGAGATTCGAACTCGCGGCCAGGCCGGCAGGCTGATCAGTAGCACGACACTCTGACCCACCTGGCTAGTCGAGGTCCCCTTATATAATGGTTGAGGTAGCCTCCTTCCCTTATACAGGGTGACTTCGAAGTTGAGTCATTTATTTTAACAGTGAGTAGATCTGATCAAAAGAAATGTTTTTTTCCTTTACCATTTTTCTGGTAAAATTAAAGTAACAAAGTTATAGCCCTTTGGAAGTTTGAGTACCGCCCTGCCTATTATATGCTCGTGTTTGGCGACAACGGATATAATCCGCCTGACCGGTTCATCGCATCGGAAACAAAAAAGCGAAAGAATTTGAAACGTTTATCACGATGTTTTTCGTCAGTCGATAAATCCTGAGTGAATAGTAGTGTGTTGCGTGGCTCAAACGAAATCAAAAATGGCACATGTTTACGAAAATGCTGAACTTGTGGACATGATTCTTATTTACGGGGGGGGCAGTCTTCACAAAATGCTCCCGGATGCATCACGGATTTATGCGAATCGGTTTCCCAATCGAGTGCAACCAACCCCTCGTGCCTTTGTTAATGTAGTGCAAAGGGCTCGTGAATCAGGTGACTTAAGACCTCACAGGTGAGGGCATGTTGCTCCAAGACCGCACGATCAAATACAGGTCCGCACTGAAATACTTGTCGGGAGGATACTTTATTAAACAAGGTAAAATTTTTTTTTTATTTTTTTTTATTTTTACACACATATTTTGGTTTATCTTCCTTCTACAATCATTATCTGAAAATTAATGACTCAACTTCAAAGTCACCCTGTATAATGGTTGAGGTAGCCTCCTTTTGGCTAAAGACCAGGTGTTGAAGACGTGAAGTGGCACTATGTATGTTCGTGTATAATAAATTGTAGTAAATTCCCTAGCTATTGAGTCACATTTATGCTAAGCGGAACTGTTCTCTCTTTATGGCCAGCTCCAAGAACGAGACACCGTCAGAGTGGGTACCATGATGTAGATTTTCACACTATGGTGATTGCTTTTTCCAACTTGAAACATACAGGGTTACTTCTCAGCATGACTTTTCAGTTAATTCTGAATCTCTTTAAATGTAATATACGTAACATATACAGGGTATTTCTTAACAAGTGACCAGTACTCCACAGGATGATTCCTAGGTCCCATTCCCAAGATTTCGGCTATGATCAAAGAGGGAAACGATCAGAGTTTTGTGTAGGACTTTGAAATGTAGCAGCAAATCCACGTGTCGATCTCTGCAACTTTTGTAGTGGGACATCTCATCACTTGCAGACACGCACAGCGTAGCCTTCCAGCACGTACGTGTCACGATGGAACGATTGTTACCGACCCAAAGGCTAAGGTGGAAGTGCTTGCCAAAAACTTTGCTGTCAACTTTACCATGGACGCCGCCCCAAACGCCCCAGTGCCGTCTATTCAAAGGGTTCCCTACACTATGCGGGAAGCAACATTCAGACATAAGTCTGTAAGTCGGGTGCTCTTGTCGCTCGGGGTCAACAAAGCTTCTGGGCCGGACTTGATTCCTGCCATAGCATTGAAGACGTGCGCAGTGGAGCTTGCTCCAGTTCTCTCGCGTCTCTTCCAGATATCTTACGAATCCGGCAGCTTCCCAGAAAACTGTAAATGTTCTCATGTCCAACCAATCTCAAAAAAAAGCGATCTAAGACCAACCCTTACAACTACAGGCCTATAGCTCTGCTTTCTGTTATAAGTAAGGTGACGGAGAGGTGCATAAATCGCCAGCTTCTGCACTACCTCGATTAATGACAGGCACCAGCGATTCACAGGGGACCTCCCAGCTTACGTCACGCCGGTGTGGAGTAAGCTCATCCAATCTTATGGTGTCGCTAATCTTGATATCTCGATAGCGTTCAATAAGCTGTAGCACGCTGCCCTATTATGCAAACTTCCATCCTATGACTTCCCAGAGAAGCTTTGTAGATGGGTGATTAACTTTCTCTTTGGCCGCAAGATATCCGTCGCAATTGACGGGTTCTCCTCTTCATCCCTCAATGTCAACGCGGGTGTTCCCCAGTGATCTGTCTTGGTCCGGACACTGTTCCTCTTACATATCAACGATTTTCTGTACGATCAATCCAATCCACAGCTTTGCTGATGGCAGCACTAGAGTGCATGTAGATATACAGGAATTCTGAGCGACAAGCCGATCTCTGCGGATGAGCTGGGAAAAAAGTAGCAACGACTTCCTCTCTGACGAGAGACGTGGAGGGTATGACTGCTTGTGGACGCATCAATCTTGTTCAGTATAATGCTTCCAAAACACAGTACTGTACATTGACAAACAAAAAGCGTCCGGTTTCGATGGATGGCCCAGTTCTGAAAAAGAGCCATTCAATTAGGCTGGTCGGAGTCCAGATCACCGAGGACTTCATCTGGAATGAACACATCCCGTCAATAGCGCCAGCTGCTAGAAAAAAGCTAGGCTATTTGTTTAGGGCTAAGAAGTACTTTTTCCCACATGACCTCCTCACTCTATACAAGGCCCAGATAAGCCCTAGCCTCGAGTATTGCTCACAAGTTTGGGCTGCTGCCGCCTTGACTACATTGTCTATGCTCGATGCTGTCCACAAGAGGGCTGTCCGACTGATCGATGACTTTTCTCTAACAGACAGTCTCGGGACCCTTTCGCACCGGTGGGCTGGTAGCGATCTGACCCTCTTCTACCGTTACACCAACAAGTTTTTCTCCTCAGAGTTCTCCTCCATGATGTCGCCGCGTAATGTGCCTGCCAGACAGATCCGTCCAACTTCGGAATCCCATCCAAACCGTGTCAAACTTCGTACATCCAGAACTGGCCGATACGACCGCTACTTTGTACCTAGGGTGTCGAGATTGTTGAACAACCTACAAGAGCAGGCTTTTTCCAGTTCTACTAATCTCAGGCAGTTCAAAAATCGGATTAACAAAGTTTCTTTGGGATCCTCATTGCAGCCGCGGCGTCCTGACACACTTAAATTAGACGACTGGTAGTGTTAAAATAAGTGACCAAAGGAAGTAGCTCGCTAATTAAGTTGAGCAGTTTACATTCCCAGTTACATATTGATTTTATGAATTCCATCATACTGCTTTACTCACCATGATCAAATCTTTTCACTTCCTTGTCCAAAAAATAATATCTGCTATAAACTAGAGGCAAAATAGGCAACTGATTCGATATAGCCATATGGAATGCTCCTTTTTTGAATGGGTGGATCTTGCCTTCATTTCTTCTCGTTCCTTCGGGAAATACCCACAGCTTTATCTGGAACGGAAATATGAATTACGTGGTTAGACTAATGTCATAAACTATGTTTCCAAACGCATAATAAAAATACCTAAGAAACGGAAAATAAGGCATAGTTCCCAATATCAAATACAGTTAGGATATCGCAGTTAAGAATGTTATTTATACTGGATCATGATGTATGAGGCTCAAATCTACGAAAAAGCATTAAGTGGCAGCGGGTTTGAGAGATGGCGAGCGATGAAATATGGACTGGAAATCTGGTTGCAGACAACGAAATATGGATTGACAGGGCAGCAATGCAGACAGATTACTAAACTGCACTTTGCCTTACGGACATGGATGCTTTGGAAGCTCTCTAAGGCGGGTGGAAAGCGAGATTACGCGAACTATTGTTTGGACGAGGAGGACACCTCTGAGGATCTACTTTAACGCAGTAGATGGACTGATGACTAAAGACAACTGGAAACAATGCTCGGCGATTTGGCCATTTTGGCAAAATGGTTAAAATCCAACCAATAGTGAGGCAAATGATGCCGAGCAAATTGATATGAATTTTAGCGCGACGCTACCTACCATTTCGGAACAATGCAATTCATGCAATCATCGAATTGCTGTGATTTTGTTAACCCGACCTTTCAATAAATTCCACCCTTTCGCACCGGCAGGCCGTCGCCGATCTAGCTCTGCCAGACAAACCCGCCTGGCTTCCGCCTCCCATCCTAACAGTTTCGTACACCCAGAATTGGCCGATTCGACCTCTCTTTTGTCCATAGGGTGTCGGTATTGTGGAACAAACTACAAGAGGAGGCTTATCCCAGTTCTACTATTCTCAGGTAGTTCAAAAATCGGATAAGACAGTTTCTTTGGGATCCTTATATCAGCCGCGGTGTCCTGGTACTCAGGCTTCTGCCTGCGTGGCTGCTTCAATGTAAAAAAAGGTTGCTGGGATAAATTAAACAATTCAGAGAAACGTACACTGATTTTTATGGACCTGAGCACGGCATTTGATGTACTTGACCACTCACACTACAAACTAGAAAATTACTGTCTAAAGGAAACAATAATATTAATCACCTTTATTTAGTATAAATCTATATCCCTTACATATGACTGACTACAGGGTGGTGGTGGCCAATGTAAAACTGTCCGATTTGTTTCCAATATAAATAAAATGGAATAGATACCGCATTTGGAAGCCACACAACTGAACCCGCTTAATTACGTTTTCCATTACTTTTTGGTAGGTTTCTGAATGAACGTTTTGATTAGCTTTCCATTTTTTATAGATTTCCACAGTTTAAACTAAAACTGGTAATGGAAGGAATTAAAAAACAGTTGTTATGACTACTGGTACAAATATTTCCAAGTTAGATGACATTTAGGTGGAAAGTTGGAGTGATAACACAGTTAAAACTAAGACTGGTAATGGAAGGAATTAAAAAAAACCGTTGTTATGACTCCTGGTACAAGTATTTGCAAGTAAAGTGACATCTACGTGGAAAGTTGGAGTGACAAGCCCGACCAAAAGTATCACATTAATTTTACAGGTTTTACTAACGAGTTAATATGTACCTGTATACAAACATACACGCGCTGTATTATCGGACAAAAACTTTTACCTAAGTAGTCAAGGCTGTTTGGAAAAAATATACGCAATTTATGTGAACAGTTAACAATATTACATAGAGTTATCAGCTTTGTTAAATGCTATATGTTAGTACAGGTCCCATTTCTTCGAAGGCGTGCTTCCCGAAAATTAATAAACAATATTCTTTATCATTTATTGTTGTCATATGATAACGGCAGAGTTTACAAGATTTATAAATATCAATTGAAATAGGAAAAGTCACAGTGACTATTGGACACATGTATATCTAAGATAAAATGATCATATTTTTATCAATATTTGGTGAATTAATAAACACAGTTTTTGCGTATCACTGTTTATTTTCTAATGATAACATTACAATGAATGAAGATAACTTCTATCTCGACGTTTCAATGTTATAATCTGCTCCAAATTAAGATTTAAGTTTGACAAATTGTAACAACGAAGCATTATGTATATCTCTGTAGCATTATAGTATATCTAAGTATTTGTGAAACGTCAATATTTATCATGGAATGTGTAGCCAGGACGTCAGAAATTAATTATGTATAAGGTTACGTAGAAATCCACTGGCACCGACGATATGATCTGTAAATTCTGATGGTTCGTACCACAGCAAATACAGATCGTGTATCATTTGAGTAGATATTACTCCAAGTGCAGAGCTCGAAATTCAATAAATACCACATTAACGATAAATCATATATAGGTATAGCCACTATTTTTTTACTTTTTTTTACTTATTTTGTTATGACGAGTGGATGGCTTGGTGTTTGAAACATTTTTCTCCTCTTGCAGTTTGCAGTGGCGGTGACTCGATTGCCGTTTGGAGGTTATATTCAAAATCATACGAAAAAACTCTCCAAGTAATCCAAACATGTTCAAAGTATTTGAAAAATAAAAATCTTTTGGGCGCAGCCTCTCTTCTATTCGTCATTGTTTGTCAGGACAGTTCGTGACACCCTTCCCGTGGTTAAAGCTTTTCTGTCTAACTATGGTTGGATGTTACCAGACAAAGATAGGGTTAAGAAATAAATCAAAGGAAGGAAAAAGCAAAGAGGAGAAAATAGTTCAGTTGGAGCACAGTCCCTCGATGATACAAATTAGGGTTCGGTAATTTTAACCAATGTTGTGATATTCTACTTTGTTTGATCCTCTAGAAGCCGTACAAACCTTATTACGGTTTCCATCAGCTTCCGGGAGGAATACGTTGAATAACTTCGTGAATATTGCTCTTCAGTATATGTACAGTGCGACGTATAAACTTTATTTTCCAGAAATTCCCTCCAAATCAAAATTTGAGGGTTAAATGTCATCAAACACCTACAAAACATTGTTCTCAAAACATTCATCGTTCCTACAGGTATTACATTTAATGGGACCAGACTGCTTTTTATGGCATATATCCAATCTAGAGCAGCCGAAGAGCAATATTCATGAAGAAGTTCAATATATTTTTTAAGTTTAAGTCTTAGCTGACTCGAAATGTAGTTACGATATATTAGCAGCTATATGTATGTACTAAAAGTTTTGGCAAAAAATTAATTTGCTTTACTTTCAACATACACAAAATAATATCAGGTTGTCTTTGGAAACAAAAGTTTGTTTACTTACTTTACTGTCAGTTGACATTTATTTATTTTAAAGTTTTCGCTTGAAGATGTATAAATTAGAAATAAGAAAGAGTATCTACAAGTTAGTTGGGCGGTTACCCAGGGCTTAAATCTGTCGAATATTCCAGAATGAAAACATTTCACGCAGAACCATTTATCGAACAATAGCGGAGTGCCAGCAATGAATACCATGTCTGAATCTCCCAACAAGTGGAATACCACGTGCATTTACTGCACAGAGGTCAGAGAGATTGGTGAGAGAGCAAAAAATCAGGTTGGGATGTCAACATGGAGACTGGTTCGTCAATACAGGTCTTCTAAGAGTAAGATATCGTTGGAATTGAGGAGGAATGGTCTTAAATATCGAAAGAGACTTGAGTGCCCCACATACTCTTAAGTACGGCACTTTCGTTTACCAAGATGCTGTCGTCAACTGGAGCGGGTACACTTTGCCAATGGAAAAATCATTATTTTAGATGACAAAAAGTATTACACTTTGACAACGTAGAGGAATGCCCTGACAATGTTAGATGCAAACATAAAGCGAAATTTGCGCAATTTCTAACAGGCGTGTATCCCAACCTTTTGTGGGAAGAGTGAGGGCTGAAGCTTTGAAGGGTCAGACCTATATTGATAACCACCTTTCCAAATTGCTTCAGTTTATCCACGAACATCATGCTAATGACCATATCATGTTTTGGCCAGATATAGCATAATGCCATTACTCAAGAGGTACCCAAAATTGGCTTAGACAACACAACATACCTTTTGTTCCCAAAAACGATAGTCCTCCAAACTTGCCGTAGGCTCGCACAAAAGAGGATTTTTGGGCCTTACTGTCTAGGAAGGTTTATCATAGAGGCTGGGAAGTCCAAGTTGAAGAAGAATTAAGACTGCAAATTTACGAAAAACCGAGCGAAATTGATCTGAATTCCGTCCAGGGCCTCATGAGAGACATTCGAAGAAAGTTGCGTCTGGAAGAGCAGCATGGGTCACTCCACATAATTCGATAGTATAGTTTAGTTAAGTATTGGGTTGTAGTTTATGATAACTAGTTAGTGTTTAAATAAATTTCATTAAAAAAATCCGATAAATACTTTGTGCCAAAACTTTTAGGACATACGTTTTCAATTTGTGCGTTCTGATTGTGTTCTAATTGCTTTATGGAACACAAATCATACAATCGCGTCGTCATTAGAAACTACGAAGCAGAGTAGGAGGCCCAAATCTGTCAAGTGATGATCTGGGATATATTTTAAATGTTTCTAAATTATTCGGGTTCTACAAGATACTATTCCAGACCTTCTATTTATGTGCAATACATCTTCTTGATTACTGAATGGTTCTGGGACATTTATTGTAGAAGCTAGGGTATAATGATTAAACAATGAACGTGTATAATACCGGAGGTGCGGTTTGTCTGCATGAGATAGCGCAAAGCGCCATCTATCGCACCAGAATCGATCGAGCACCGCTGCTATTAGTTGGAACTGTCAAAGATCTCAGTTCGAGTTTAATAGCCGTGCCGCTAGATGGCTGATGATTCTGGCATGCAGACAAACCGCACCACCGGTATAGAGGTTCATTGTGATATTTTCATTCGTAGGTCCAGAGATAAGAGATCAAGCCTATACCATCCTGATGAGTAGCTAAGAAGCACGAAACAGCTGTCCATGGTTGGCTGTAGTCTTTTTCTGGTCGGATGGATGAAAGCATCTTGTTTAATCTGTTCGATGACAAGTAGACCACTTCTACTCTCAGCCAGAATCATCAGCCATCTGGCTCGAACTGAGATTTTTGACAGTTCTAACTAATAGCAGCGGTGCGCGATCAATTCTGGTGGGATAGATGGCGCTTTGCGCTATCTCATGCTAGTGTATAATGGTTTTACGATCATATATCATATTTGATAAATCGAAGTAAACATCAGCTTGATCTCAACCATCCTTTCCTAGTTAATAACAGTCTAGCTGAACAAAAATATACCTTGTCTCGCTTAATATTCTCCACGGCATTATTCATAATAGATTTCGCTTTGTCCGATTGCATCCTCGGGATAAAGATCAGTCCACACAGCCAGGCGGCAAGTCCAAACGGACCCGAGTAAAACAATACTTCTCGCTTTGATATCACAGTACACTTGCCCATTATTCGCCAAATGTCGAACATACCTGAAATAAACATGTATGAAACTTTAAACACAAATATCTCGACTTTATAATGAATTACGGTGCCTGAAGATTCAATATATCAAATAGACAATCGTGTCCTTTACCGGAAAGGTTGAAGTTAAGAAAATCATCGCGTTCATTAGAACATCGCTACACAAGATCTACCGACTACTAGCATTGGCCATTGGCATGCATTCAGGATTCGGTGCAGGTCAACAGTCAAGTGAAATGGCCGATTTTTTCCAATCATATGACAACTTACTTGGATGATGTACCAGTTTTAATTCTGTTTCTGGTTTTGATCAAATTTGATCTTAACTACTAACTTAGGAAAAAAATTGTAATATTTCATCTCATGAAGTTTTGTAATATTTATGCATTTTTGCAGTTTGCTGACGGATTGCGGCAAAAACATAATTGTAAGCAAAGTTAAAAATACCACAAGGAGTTGAAGACACTTTTTTAGGTCTTAGTTAATATTTGTTCTGTCACCATAAAAATACCACATTTTTCATTACGATTTTTATTATGTTGATTGTAGTTTTAATAGAAAGTGCAATATTTTTGGAGAATGTCTCCATAAATGCTGGATGGAACAACTATGAATTATTTATAGTAAAACTTTTACATGTCCAAAGTAAATCTTACAATCCTTGGTTGACTATACATATTAAAAAGTAAACGCAAATATTTGGTACCACGAATATCGGCATTAAAATTGTACTATCGGCTACGAAATTAATTTCAATGTCAAGACAGATAGTAATAATGTTAGAGTTACAAAAAATCCAATGTCAATCACATATTGCAAGGTTATTCCAATTATTTTGATACAATAGAATATCATTTGAAAAGTTTTGCACAAGCTTTGTACAGCTTCAAGAAGACTTATTGAGAGCTGCGAGAATCAACCAACGTGGCCCCTTTTATTAACTAAGCCACTAAACCACTAGATGATTATCTGTGGAATTCAACACCTTCACCCTTTCCGTGCAGACAGTTATGCAACTGCACTTTGGAATATTGATTAATTGAATAATATGTTACATAAAAGCAACATTCACTCATTTTTTAATATGACCTAATTAGTGATAATCAATATTTTCAAGCGACTCCATAAAAAACGTGAAAACGCAATTAGATTTTTTGTACGTTTTTTATCTTGGCAATGTAAGTTTTATGTAGAACGTGATACTTTTTACCAGCACGAAATATGGTGTTCAAGCTTTTCTACATTTTTATTTTCCCAAATAAATAATTCATTTTTACTCATCAAGCTGAAGCGACATTGATGTACTGTATCGAGTAGGCCAATAATAAAGGACGTCCGCTATATCTCGGCAACCTCTCTACCTAGACCTTTTTTTTTGATAAAAGTCGCTAAGTGAAATTGCTGGAAATTATTTCCAGCTTCCTAAAATGGCCTCTAGGTGGTGTCATTCCAATTTTAAAAACTCAAAGGCAATTGTTTTGCAAAAATTCATAATTAACATACTCATTAAATAGCTTCATCCTGTATCTATAAAAAAGCATATCGTTGTATTTGAAATTTTCTTAACACAAAAAAACGACACATCCATAAAGCGCCATCTATCTTTACAACAAACTGAACTAATCCGATAACACTGAGCATTCAATCGCAGGTGAATACTACTTCAAACGAAACCAAGATCACCAAAATCGGTGCAGCCAAACAGAAGTTGTGACTTTTTTCTGAAAAGACATTCAAGCCTCCCCCACCCTTAAACTAACCAAAATACGATGAAAGATGACATGATGAACAAGAGAGTTCGGAAATTGAGCGGTAAATAAGATGAGGCTATTTAATAAAGTATGTTAATGATGATTTTTTGCAAAATAATGTCGATTGAATTTTTGAAATTGGAATGATGCCACTTAGCGGCCATCGGAAGCTGAAAATCAGTTCCAGGAATCTCTCTTGGCCACTTATAAAAATTTTTAATCGATAGCTCTAATTGGAGCGCTTGCCAAAAATCCGCATGCTGTAAAAAGAACTCATTTTCAACATAGATTGTCATTAAATGTTTGGGCTGGCGTGGTAAATAGCATGCTTATTGGACCCTACTTTTTTCCACCTCGACTGACCGGTGAAATTTATTTAGATGTTCTTCGACACAATCTGCCACAATGATTAGAAGATGTTCCTCTAAACATGAGACAGAATATGTGGTTCCTACATGATAGAGATCCACCACATTTTAGACGAGAATTCATGAACATCTAAATAATGAGTTACCGAATAGATGGGTAGGGCGCAATGGATCCATTTCTTGGACTGCTAGCTCCCCGGATTTAACGCGTTGCGATTTTTTCTGTGGGGCTATTTGCAATAGTTGGTGTATCATGATGGAGCAGCAAATACTCTGGAAAAACTTTAACAGCGCACTGAAAATGCTTCTGATTTATTACGTGGACACCAGTGTTTTCGAAGTGTCGTGGATTCACCAAGCAAGAATTTGCGTTAATCCAACAAATGGGGACAATTTTGAACAGTTTTTGTAAAAACGGTATCCATTTAACTTAATAATGATTTTTTTTAATAAATCAAAATAACTCTCATATTATACAACTTTTATATAGGTGATTTTTGGTATATCAACTTATTGTCCCACCTGGTACAAAATAGTTTTCAGTGTCGCTTATGTAGAACACGGCTTAAGTTTTGTATGCCAATTGAATTCACTACATCGCAGCTAGGTTATTTTTATACTTTTATAAAGTATCCGCTTTGGTTAGTCTAAATACAAATTATAAACATTAAATTAGTCTTTTTTTAAAGTGTGAGGGAGTGGTCGCGACTTTTGGTTACTGTGTCATTATTTCTATAATTTTTGTGGCATATTTGCGAGATGTTGATAATTTATTTTTATTTGATCGTTTCATTTAAGCATAATATATGTTTCAATTATACAGCGTATTTTCTAATTGAACGTTAATATGGGGTTGTCCAAAACGGACGCAGGAAAGTAAATGCATATTAAAACAAGAAAGATTGATATTCAAATCAAGTTGGGTACTTTATTTTGAAGGTTCATTTATACCATTTATGTATGAAAAATAATATCGCTCAAATGTTCACCACGACTGGATTTACAGACGTCCACGCGATGGTCGAAATTTTCAATGACATTTTGCAGCATGGTCAGTTCTATGGCATTTATCTCAGCAATGATGTTGTTTTTGAGTTCTTGGAGGGTGGCTGGTTTGTTGACGTAGACTTCGCTTTTCAAATATCCCCATAAAAAGAAGTCCAAGGGAGTCAAATCGCACGATCTTGGTGGCCATGGCACATTTCCTCTGCGCGAAATCACGCGATCACCGAAGAAGGACTGCAATCGATGGATATTGACGTTGGTTGTGTGGCATGTTGCACCGTCTTGTTGGAAATAAACATCGTCCATTTCCATTCCTTCAAGTTGCGGCAAAAAATAGTCCTCTATCATAACGTGATATCGCTCAGAATTAACGGTAACGGCGTCCCCGGCCGCATTTTCGAAAAAGTAAGGTCCGATGATGCCTTTTGACCACAAGGCACACCACACAGTCACTTTTTGAGGATGCATCGGCTGCTCTTGATACTCACGGGGATTTTCGTTCGCCCAGATGTGGCAGTTTTGCTTGTTTACCGTCCCATTCAAAGTGAACGTCGCTGAACATGATTTTTGATGAAAAATTGGCATCAATTTGGCGGTGTTCAAGGAGCCAATCTGAGAACGTTCGGCGCGAAAAATGGTCGGCCCGACGCAGCTCTTGCGTCAATTGGATCTTGTAGGCGTGTACATTCAAATCCTTGTGGAGAATGCGGAGCAAACTGGTTCTCGAAATGCCCAATTCTTGGGATCGACGCGTTGTTGATTGTTTCGGAACGTCTCTCACACTCTCCTTCACAACAGCAATATTTTCCGGTGTGCGAACGCTCCTTGGCCGGCCAGAGCCTGGCAGATTTGCCACAGAACCTGTTGCCTCGAATTTACGCACCAGACGACCGATGGTTGTTTCGTTTGGGCGGTTGTTGCGACCGAAATGTTCACGAAGCGCGCGAAACGTGTTTTTTATTTTTGCACCATTTTTGTAGTGCTCTTGAATAACTTTAATGCGGTCTTCAATCGAATACGACTCCATAGCGATCAATGGTAAACATTCAACTAACAAAATGACATGTCGGTGACAGAAAACAAAGAGGGCGTCTATGTCAAATTGACGTTTACTTTCCTGCGTCCCTATTGGACAACCCTTTATGATGGCGATTTTTGGGTCCATTTTAAGAAAAAAACTTCATATGAACGTATGCCCTAAACGTCTTCACTTCTAAGATCTATATATCTATATATATATATATATCAGACATTTTTAATATATTGCATTTTTTATAATTTCCCCAAGTGGCGTTCGTACGGTATTTCACCTGCCTATTTTGGCAGACATTGATGGTAGACCACTATTTCTCTAAAAATAAAAATTATCTTTATCCGATGTACGGCAGACAGTCACGCCGGGCGCTGAGTCCAGATGGCTAAAGGAGACCCGTATCGAAAACAATGAGGTAGGGAGTTGTTTCTCTTTTACCGTGGTTATCGGTCATCACCCGTTACAGAATTGCGGGATTAAGCAGATGCTAGGGGTGTACGACACTGGAAGTTCGCAGATCGGGTGTGAAGGGTAAAATAAGTAAAGTAAAATCCGATTTAGGAAAAACTGCATGGCGGGAGTTCGTGGAGCTTTGAACCACAATGGATACAAAATCAATGAATTGAGTACAGCTATGGAAAAATGAAGCTAATTATTATGTTTTATGTGCTTGTTTATGCCAGAGAAATGCGGAAGTTCCAGGATTTGAATTACTGAATTGTGGGAGTTGGAAATATACCTCCCAACTCTAAAAAATCTCCAGTACTCACCCAGTAGGATGCAAGAACTCTAATCTGCATTATACACTAGAAGCAACTACTACTGGTATTATGTACAAACCCCCTTTGTTC